GCTGATAGGGGAGGGGAGGGGAGAGGAAACAGCCGAGCAGCCTCGACAGGGGAAGGGAAGTTCAGCGCTGCCACCCCGGCTGAGCACATCCACAGTGAGGTCTGCAACCCCGCCTTCGCTCCTCGGGGTGGCTCCGCTACGTATTTCCCGCCTCCTCTTCCTATTTTTCTGCAGGGAATGAAATTGCTAGCTTATTCTTTTTTTTCTCCCTCCTCCTTTCCGTGGCAGCGGGACCGATCGAGCATTGAAACCCCATCCCCCCCGCAAATGGGGATATTAATTAGCGTGTGACTTAGGAGTCCCAGTGGTTCCACTGGGTCCACTCGAAGTATGATAAAGCCAGATCTCAAACAGTATCTGATCCTTTCCCCATTTCAAAAGGAGATCACCCCGTTGAATTTGGATCCTATCCTGTTTACTGTGGGGGAGCCCTAGGACTTAGGCCACAGTGAAGTCGTAGTGTGGTATATGGCTAGGAGAGATGAAGGGATCCGCTTAAATTTGACCGCCAGCACTTGTCCTTCCTGCAGGGAGGGAACTGTGGGGTCTTACAAAGAAAACTACTATACAGTAGAAGGAAGTCTATGTCTGCCAGGTGTTGCTGGAGTTAGACTGTTCTGTTTTTCCAGTGCAGAGATGGCCACATCATAGCAGAGAAGGGGACTATTAAGAACATTAAAAACTCGTTTGCAAAATCAGTCCAGGTTCCCCTTGCAGTGTGTTACTGACAAAGTTAGTATTTAAGTTAATCTAAATCCAGTTCACAGGTGTTTGCATTTGGTTTATCAGGGTCAAGTTACTCAACCCTTAACTCACTGCTGACTTTATGAATTGACTTGGTTGAAATGGGTACCGTATATGCTGGCGTATAAGGCGACTTCCGCAAGCGTTAAAATCGGCACCGAAGTCGGGGGTCGTCTTATACGGCGAGTCGTCTTATACGCCAGAAATACTGGTAGTTTCCGGCGTATAAGACGACGTTCTAGGCATGCGACTCAGCGCCAAAGACGGGGGTCGTCTTATATGCCGGGTCGCCTTATATGCCAGCATATACGGTACTGTAAATATGTAGAAGAGAGAGGTTGGCTGTCCCTTGTTGACATGCAGCTGAGTTGAATTGCCTGCAGGAAACAAAAGTTAAACTGGCCTACAAGGCCCCCTTTAAGATGTTTGAAATGATTCTGTGTTTAAGATATAATTTTTTGCTGTTGCATACAACATGGAGTCACTGAAGCAGTAGGCGTGAGCTTAAATAGACTCCAGAAGATGGTAGAGAACAGGAAGACCTGGAGGAACGTCCATGGGGTCGCAATGGGTTGGACACGACTTCGCAACTAACAACAACAGTGCACAACTAGTGATAGCTCATCACACATCCCACTAATTGTTGAATATAGTACTAGAAATGTACTTCATGACCGTTGGCGTCTAGTTTGCGCAATGAATTTTTTTTTAAAAGATACACCTGTACTAGGCTTATTGCTGAAATGTATGATTATTTTAAAAGTTAATGTAATACTATAAAAAGATGGGGTGGAAAAAATACACTGTACTAAGGAAGTAAAATTAGGTTCTAGTATTTCAGACCAAAAAAAAAAAATACATTAAGAGTTTTGTTCAGAACAGATCTCCAAAAATACCAGATTGATCTGATGATTTCAAACAGTTTTACAATAATGGCTAATAGTGGTGTCCTGCTGAGTTCAAAAGATGGAGTTCTTTTGTTGGGAAAAAGCACAGTTAAATAGTGCCATCATTACAGATATGTGTTTTTAGTTGGGTTTTTTTAAACCACCATCAGTCTCCATGTGGAATCTGCACTGCACAATTGATCTTTTTCAATAAATAACATGTTCAGTCCATATCTTTTGGTTAACAAAGCCAAGCAAGCTTGTGCTACTGAATTGCAGGGGCTCACAAACAGGCTTTGTAACAAGGACAGTTAAAATATTCATTGCATTTATTTTGTGGAAAACAAACACAAAATGGTTCAGTCAATCTGGATTGTTTGAGATTGGAGCACATTATTCAATCATTCTGGAACTCTCCATTTCTTATTAAAACAGCAATGTATAAAATAGTTCCTTGAGTTGGGTCAAATTTGGGGAATAATGTCCTGTATTTTTCCATATTCTGCCATGGAAATCTTTATATTGACTATCTTCTCAAATTCACAAATGATCATCCTTAAATGGTCTGGGCTTTTAAGAACTCTGCTTTAGTGCCAGCTGGCCGCTGATCAAATTTCAGAAATTTTAGAACATAAGGTATAGAACATAAAGAACATAAAGTATATTCACAGGATCTTACAAGGAGGACAAAATAAAAGAAACATTTTAAAATGCTGTTGTTACTATTATCTTTATCATTATAAAGACTAGCACTGCCAGAGGAAATGCATCTAGACCAGGGCTTTTCAACCAGTGGTACGGGTACCACCTGTGGTACATTGGCACCTGGCAGGTGGTACACAACCATCCTAGAAAAGTGGTAGCGGGGGAAGGGAATGAGCTGAAGTGACGGCAGCACCGCACAAGCCTGAGCGAGAGACGGCTGGAACTGCAGGGCTGTCAGGACTCAGCGGAAGCACCAGGATCAGTGCCGCTTTCCAGCTGATTGGAGCTTCTTCGTGACTGTCAGGGCTCAGCGGAAGTGCCAGGATCAGTGCCAGGTTCCAGCTGGAGCTCGGCACTGATCCTGGTGCTTCTGCTGAGCCCTGAAGAAGCACCAATCAGCTGGAAAGCAGCACTGATCCTGGCACTTCTGCTGAGCCCAGAAGAAGCGCCAATCAGCTGGAATGTTGCAGCATCTCCAGGGTCTTGTGATTTACATTCAGATGCTTGGCAACTGATTCATATTTATGATGGTCACAGTGTCCCAGAGTCATGTGACCAAAACCTCCTGCAACCACCCAGCAGATGGGGGGAATAAAAACCAAACACCACCCCACCACCGCTGCCAATCCTCAATAAAAATGCTCACAACAATGAAAACCTCGGACAGGAGGAAGAGTGTCGCCCGGTGGGCAGGCAGGTGGCTCGGCAGTGGCTTGGGAGGCACTTTTTTTCAGTGCCACTGTAACTTTGAACAGTCACTAAGTGAACTGTTGTAAATCGAGGACTACCTGTACTTTATCACTTTTTTCCTTTTTGGGGGGGTCATCAAGTTTTTGACACTTTGCTAGGCGACTGGTGGTACTCAGATATTGGCATATCCTAAAAGTGGTACAACGGGTGAAAAGGTTGAAAAGCCCTGGTTTAGACAAAAAAGTATCCGAAGCTACATTGTGGAAAATATATTGTATTATTTGGAAGACAAAGGAAGCTGTCTTACACTGACTGTTTTCATACTTGTAAGACACAGAATACTGAGAAATGTACCAAAGTTTCTTGCAAGTTTCTAAACACTCCGGCCCTATGGAAGCCAATAAACTTAATGATTTGACTTAGCCAGAACTACACTACGGTATATTCTCTTAGAAAGCATGCAGTGGTGCTAAGCAACTTATCTAAAGCAGGAGTCAGTATCTGCAATGTGTAAACTACATACAGTGCTTGGCTGCCAAAATTACAGCCCTGCACCAATAGAGAAGACTGTTCACTTTTTTCTAGTAACCAGCCAATCACAACCTTAGTAACAGAAAGGTATTTAGTCCCTGCAACCAGCTCATCATCATTTGGTCAATGTCTGGCAAGACCAGAATAATAGAATTCAGAAACCAATCACTCTCTTAAGTGACCAGGATGAAAGAAGAAATAAAGAATGAAAAAAATTATGCCCTCTTCCTTCCTCTCCCAGTAATCTCAGAATTATTGGTTACTTTCCTAGCTCATGGGAAGGAGTGGGGGAAGCTGATGTAGAGACTAGAGCAAAAGGTCAGAATTTAACTGAGTGCAGATGAAGTTACATCTACCACAGTTTTTCTCTTGAGATGCTACTGTGTTTTAATTATAAGAAAACATAAATGAAGCCATTAACATGTAAGAAGTAGCCTAAGTTAATTCTGTGTTTCTCTCCCGAACTATTTTAGTCACATCTTGCTTAACTTCATGGATATCTCAGAGATATATTGCTAGAATTAGATCTAGATGTGGGTTTACATAATTAGATTTCAACTATGTTTAGCCATAACCCAGCACCTAGTTTGTATGGATAAAACTGTTAAATAGATGACACATGATTATTAGGCTTAATATCAATTGTCCCTCATTAATATTGCAGAGAAGTGATTAGCATTTTGAGGCAAACAAGGTATACTTAGTTAGTGGAACATGACCCTGCTGTCATTAAATTATATCTATGATTAATGATCTTCTGTAGCATAGAGCTTAAAGTTTGAGCAATAATGAATAGATTATCAAGTAGGCACCAGAAAAAAGATGAACCCTGAGGGTTAGAGGCACAGCTGTTGCTGCTCCAAGTTTATTTCAGATCAGAATGTGTACCTCTCTCCCTTGTCTTCTACTGGGGGATCCAAAGTCTTTAGAAGTTGAAATGACAACCATGCTTTTGTAATATCTGTCACTCAAAGCAGGATACTTGTACCTTCGTTAATTGGGATGCTACCTGTTTCTCATCTTTCAGATTGCAAGGGCAAGTTCAATGGTGATTCCAAATTTGTTTATTCCAGAACATCACAGGAAGGATAATTAATTTTTATTATTACTCACAATACTTACGTGTTCCATCCGGAAAGCAGGCCGAAAGTGCTCTATCAATACAGGTCTGAATTCATTTTTACTTGACCACACACTTTGAAAGCCAGGAAAAGAGAACAATTCCATGCAGAAGCAAACAAGCCAACCATCTTCCTCCATGGCCAGTGTTGGCTTGCTCAGATTTAAAACTGTGTTTTGTTTAGTACACTGGGCGGATGAGCTGTAACTGAGCTATAAATGATTTATTTTTACAGTGATGTGCTCAGGTTGCCAAATTTTCTTTCATCTTTGGAAAGGATTTTTTTTTAATTTGGTATGTTTATTTATGGCACTGTTCACTAGGAATCCATCATTACCTTAACAGCTGTCACACCAAATGGTACAGCATGTGTGCCTTTAAAGAAGATACTGAACACTTTCCCATCCTACAGAAGTGCACAGCCAAAATGCCGTAGGAATCTGGGAGCCAAAATAGTACCCAAGGTATTCTTATTCATTCTTTTTATTTATTTATTTATTTTTCCTCTTGCTTTATATTTAGGGATTGTAGGTTGTTACATTTTTCTCCTGTGACTCTTTGTCACAGCCTTTTGAATAAATATGAAAAAAAAATACAAAACAGTTGTTTTTCCCCCCCCCTTCCAATCAACTTTATGAATTGAGAGGGACATATAAGGGATTTGAAGTTTTAATAGAATGATCAGGAACTTCTCTTAGTAGCTAGCTGGTGATGGAATAGAGTAGAATTACCTTTGTTCAAAAGATTGGAGAATGTGACATGCGCAGAATATAATATGATGTATACTACAAATAGTTTCATCATGTATACCTGGCCAATGAATAAAGAAATGCAAAATATTATATACTAAAATCGACATTTTCTAGAGCGTCCCATCAAAATGACTTGGAACAGTGAGCAATAGGAAGGCAGTAGGCAGCCAGAAAAAAACTAGCTTATCGTGCATAAATATTTTGATATTTAAGATTTGGAGTGCTTTGATTGATGTCTCAAAGTCAGAGGAGAAGAGTATTTCAGTTAGCTTCAGTCTGTGTCAGGCATAAAGAATCAGAACCACATGTTAAGTTCTAGTTAAGCTGATTTATTGCTCATGCCTATATACAAGAATCTAGTCAAACAGAGGTCAGCACTGAATTGATGCTAGATAAGAGTTAATAGAATCCAAGAGGGGGATTTTGATGCTTGTAGGAACGTAATGACTCCAGGCTGATTCTTCTCTTGACTCCACCTCCAGGTTCTGCCTCTCCTTCTCCTACAGTCTGTCGCATGCAGCTCAGCCCTGGGCCTAATTTTCAGACTCATCCACGTCTTGATGCCCAGCCAAGGGTAGACAGAGTTTCTCTATTAATTCTTGTATGTTAACTCTGATCAGACAGCAAAATGAACATGGGCTTCTACAGATAAAAAAATGTTTTTTTGTGTGACTAGAAGATACTGAGATGCTGCAGAGATGCCTGTTGCTGGAAAGAAAAGGCAGTGCTGAATTTTGCTGTTTTTTCTTCTGCAGCCCGATGTTTTCTAAGGAGACCTTTTTAAGCTCTGGACAGAGGGGAACATTGGATTATGGAGTGGAAATGGGATATTGTTAGCCGCAAATATCTTTGTCCTTCGCCAAAACATTCTGTGAATGAAGCTCTCTTCAGTAGAGTGCTGGATCCAGCCCTATATCTTTGAAAATATTTTTGTTGTTGATGAAGATGATGGAAGATCTCATTCATATTTCCTCCAAAATCTTAAAAGTGCCACCGACAAAGCAATCTCAGGCATATTTTTTGGATATAAGCCCATTCGATACAATAGAGCTTATGCTCAGGTATGTCTCAGATAAAAACCCTATAATGAAGTTCAAATCTTACAAAAAAAAAGGATTTTAATTGAACTGGATCAATTTAATTTAGTTTAAAAGATAAATAATCAATCCCAAGTTCTTCCACCAGCTGATAGCCCAACATTTTAGGTAAGTGAATTGCCAGGATGATAGGTAATGATTAAATTAACTTAAAACTCCCTTTTATGACCCAGTAATCTTACTCTATATCATTATGTACGCAGGATAAGCAAATATCCTAATGACAAAATGATGGCAGGGTCTCAGAAGACAGCTATCTCCCCCCCCCCAATTGCTTGAAATAAGAGTTGAAGATATGCCCATTCCCCAGGCATTTGTAGAATATCCACAACTCCAAGGTTTGTTGCCTTTTAATTATTATTTTTTAAATTATATAAAGTTTTAACATTACTTTGTTCAGAACTGGTTGTTTTCTTGGTTTTTTTCATTGTTTAATGTGAACTGCTTTTACTTCTCATACCTCCGAGCAGGACAAATGGTATAGTAATATTACTACCTTCATATCATCATATTGCAAATAATAGCAGCACTGTTTCATTTAAACTGTCTCAGCCTGGCAATGCTGAGATGGGAATGAAAAATCCTTAAAACAGTTAGTAACTTCTTCATTTTAGCAGTTTAAAACAACAGATAGATAGGATAGGTGGACTCAAATAATCTCATCACAATGTTTCCCAGATTAATTTTGGACGGACAGGGAATGCCGAGAAAGAGGAATCTGCTCTGACTAGAATGGCTCAGGTGTGCTATCTTACCAGTGTTTTCTTGACAAGAAACCTTGATGGGTATAGAAAGAGACAGAGAGCCGGGTCAAAGCAGCAAGGCTATTGTAAACTAACTGTCAAGAGACGTCTATAATGGCAGGCATTTCCCACCATAATCATCCAGTACTTGATGAAAAGGTTATAGCTTTCTAAGCAGTCACGTTAACAATCTGGCCAAAAAAAGGAGGGGGGAGTAGGGAATTAGAAACAAGTGAATTAATTACCTCTTGTCCAGATCCCCATGCATAAAAAGGCCAACATATATGCTCACTCCCAAAGCCTCATCTAAGATTTCAGTGGCGCTTCTTCAGGGACACTGAAGATTTCAGATTGAGCATGGCCACTCAACCTGGTCACTCATTGCATTGGTGGACAATCAAGAAGCAAACCCAATGTGTCTAGCACGTGTTGATGTATACACAAATGCAGGCACACACAGAGACAAAGTGCACACATTCCTTGGGTATATAGATATTCTGGCTGACATTATCAGCGAGGAGGAAGACCTCAGCTCAAAATAAATCATGTAAATACTTGAGCCATATATGAGGCAGTTAAGACAATGCTACTGTTTTCAAGCAGAGATACAGAAACATTAGTCCTCTAGATAGAATTGAACCTCAGTGTCTTGTATCTTTCATGATTGGCCCTGAAAGCTGATGTTGCTGGAACCATACCCCATTAGTAGAGGTACTTATGGGTAGACTACAACTCCTAGCAGCCCCCAAAAGTACAGAGCCCAAAAGAAGGCAAAGCAAATATATTAGACAACGATGGTCTGTAACAATTTTCAGGAATAAATTACACTGAGAAACAATCTTAGAGAGCAGCCCTTCTACTGAACCAGTCAATGGGCTATCCATTCGTGTATTGGAATGGGAGAAAGGTGGTGGTTATTTCATCTAATATCTGGAACGTTCCGGAAAATTATAGATAAAAGTGATATATGACTACAATCCATAATTGTCTGGCTGCAGTGGTGCCAGAAGCTGTACTATTAAGCAGTGCATGAATTGCTAATTCATAAAATAGAAATAATGACTACCACTTAGGTAAGTGAGGGAAAAAAAGAGGAAAATATGGACCCCCTGTAATTTCACCCTTCCCAATAACTCATGGGAGACAATGGGAAAAGTGACACTTAGGCGGGCCCTCTGTACTATTCAATTCGTAGGCTTTTCCTGAGTGTATAATACACTGTTAGGAAATGTATTATTATTGTTGTTGCTGATCGTAGCTTTTAACATTTTTATACATTTTATATATAACCCCCCTCATAAATTAGCCAGAGTCCTTGTTGTAGGATGGGATATAAATTTAATTAAAACATGCATGACACAAATGCAGGGAAAGATCTCTTCTATATTAAGCCCTGTGGAACTCGGAAATAATCTAAGAAAGCTTTGAGGAAGACTGTTCCACTCAGGGAGGAGATGAAAAGCTGTTTCTTTGGAATAATAGGTTTTAAATTGGAGCCCTTTGCTTAAAATCCACAGGCAATAAAAAAGGGGTCAAAATGAAGAAAATTGCACAACTCTTATATTACTTTAAAAGATAATCATGGGTGTTTCCCCCCCCCTTCCAGAAATAGTTGCTTTTTTTCTTTTTCTTAAGTAGTCATTGACAATAGATGCCATCACTTAGAATCCATTGCTCAATAAAAGAATGGTCAGAAATTTTAAGATTTTATGCAACTTAAATGTTTCCAGTCATCGTCTATTTCAGGACTGGGGCTCATTTTGAATGGAAAAAATGTAATCTTTGACCTTAAACATCCATGAAAATGACCTTTGAGAGTAATTGTGTGGACTGCAATTTGACTTTATTTATGTGGCTAATTCACTTGTAATGCTTTACATTTGTGCTACATATTTTAAATGGCTTACAGTGGGATTGCTTTGACTTTTTTTTTTTTTTTGCTAGCATCTTCTATGTTTAGTCATTTCTTCTAATATGTGCAAAGGCATCTATTCTGAGCCTGTCAGAGATTGCACTAGTAGTTTTGCTTGCTACTCTCAAGTTTCTTTAAATCAAAGCCAAAATGTATATAGCCTACATAATATAGGACAAAATTATATCTATATTCTATAACAATGTTCAATTATGGATACAAGAAAAAGTGAGTCAGAAGTATTCTTTGATAATTGCTGGGTCATATCAAGATACCGCCATACTAAAATGGAAGAGCTTTCATCACAAACTAGGGTAATTGTCCAATTGTATTGAAGTCAGTTACATTAGAATTTCACCCACATATATTTAATGGTCTTACGTTATTTTTATGCTGATGTCACAGTTATTTAAGTGAGAGGTACTTTTGTTAGCTAGACAGTTTTCTGGAAAAAAAAATTAGGAGATTTCAGACTGTAGTGGGCAAAATTGTGGTGGTTTTCCATTTTGCAGGAGTTTGGCACACTTCCGCTGCATTTTGGAACCTAATTTTAACCTTCTCTGGAATGTCCCTATGAGCTGTATGTAGTGACTTAGGGGTTCCAGGGAACACCAAGCACTGATAAAAGATGAGACATGGCTGGCTCAGGAATTCTGGGACTTGAAGTCCACGAGTCATAAAAGAGCCAAGGTTGCCTATCCCTGGACTAGGAGAACAATTCTTTGCCATTTCCATACAGAAATAAATTAAGGAATCAAAGTAACAATTCCAGAAGAGAAACCTAAAATCTCAAGTTCGGCTTTTGTTAGATCAGTGGTGTGTGGATGTGCAGAAACCTTGTACCCAGTAAAATCAATATTTGATAATTCAGTGCAGTATTAGCTACATGGATTGTAAAAATCACACCCATCCTTTTCGGGCTCAAATTAAAAATCACTTAATCCCTTAAAGATTTTATAACTGCCTGTCTCTATCCAGACTCCAGGAAGATTGTAAACTGGAAACGGTCACCTCTAGCCAAACGTTGCTTGATTCTGGCATTCGACTCGCTGCAAGTTCCAGCAGGAATGCATCTGGATTATCTAACTTTTTAGATAAATTCTTTCAGATTCATCACATTTATTATATTCACTTTGAGTCTAGCCAATTAAATTGTAGTAGGAATTATAAATCAATTGGGCCAAAATTCCCATTTTTAAACTGCTTAATATCTTGATAAGTGAAGAAACAAGGGAAAAAAGTAGGGAAAAACTGAAGTACTGGTAGTAAAAAATAAACGAAGAAGAAAACCTTGGTTGTTGTAAAGATAATAATAAGGAGAAAGGGTTGAAAGAGTCTGCTAATTCTGAGTTTGCTAATTCTTTCTCTATTCTATGCATCCACATGACAAACATTTCATTAGTAAGGGAAGGACATTTGTTGTCAGTGCTAGGGCTAAATATATATAAAAAAATCAAGAGCTCAACCTGACTTCTCAAGGAAGCCATAATCTAGAATCCTGGAAAATCAAGAGTTTAAGAAGTCCCTGTAAATAAAAAAGGTTCATTGCTGTTAATTTTGGCCTGGTGCTTGTAAATGGGGCAAGAAAGGAGAAGATAAGGTCTCCTGCTTGAGCAGAAGATTGGACCTGAAAACTTCCAAGGTCCCTTCCTACCCTGTTATATATTCTGCTCTATATTCTGTGTTCTAAGTGTATCTCTCCCACTGCTTTGTTCATCTCTAGGTTGTACACAAATTTAAAATGACTGGAAAGAATCAGTTTCATTTTTACAGTCTACTGTACGGGTTAACTTTAGATGTAGCTAATACTACACTGAATCATGAAATGTTGTTTCTCTTGGGTCCAAGATTTCTGCACATCCACACTCTATTCACTTGAGACTTTAGGTTTCTCTTCTGGACTTATTACTTTGCTTCCTTATTGCACTTAAATTCCATTTTATTCCTACAAACTGCATTGTAAGTACTTTCCAGTGTTATTTACATAGCAACTTTGTGAGGGAAGTTAAGTTGAGGGATAATTATCTCAAAACATCCAATGAATTTTATAGTTGGGAGGGAACTTGAAATTGTATCTCTCCAGTGTTGGATTAGCACTAATTTTTTCCTTAGATTTTTTTTTTAAAAAAACTTCATAATATTGCTTTTGTTATTGTCATCAAATTACTTCAGAACTTTGCATTAAAATTGATATATGAATGTTCTTTAATAAATAGTCCTCTTAACCCTGCATGATCTTTGATCAAATTTAATATTTGTTCTCGTTTGTGAGCGAAATCTTACAATGGGTTCTGCATGTACAATAGGTTTATTATATGGAGATCTTAAACCTATGAAGCTTTGCAGTATGGCATCTCTTGTTAATTGTGTGATCTCTTTATTTACCTCCCCTATTCCACCATACGTATACAATCAAGATGCTTAACAAAAGGTTAGGACATAAATGTAAAAATAAAATAAAATAACATAATGCAAAAATATAAAAATGTTGTCAGAATCAGAATAGAGCTGGAAGGAAACTTGGAGGTTTTCTAGTCCAACCCCCTGCTCAAGCAGGAGGCCCTATGCCATTTCAGACAGGTGGCTGTCCAGGCTTTTCTTAAAAACCTCCAGGGATGAAGCATCTACAACTTTTGAAGGCAAAGCTTAGGCTTTGGATGAAGGGATAGATGGGGAACTCATCAAATTTGCAGACGACACCAAGCTGGCAGGAATAGCCAACACTCCAGAAGACAGGCTTCAGATACAGAAGGATCTGGACAGACTTGAACACTGGGCACTCACTAACAAAATGAAATTCACTGGTGAAAAAAGCAAGGTTCTACATTTAGGCAAGAAAAACCAAATGCACAAGTACAGCATAGGTGGCACCATGCTCAATAGTAGTAGTAACTGTGAGAGGGACCTCGGAGTCCTAGTAGACAATTCACTAAAATATGAGCCAGCAGTGTGCTGCAGCTGCAAAAAGGGCCAACACAGTGCTAGGCGCTTAAAAGAGGATAGGAATCAAGACACAGTGGAAGTATTAATACCACTCTCAATGCCTGGTAAGGCCACACTTGGAATACTGCATCAGTTTTGTGTCACCACGATGTAAAAAAGATGTTGAGACTCTAGAAAGAGTACAGAGAAGAGCAACAAGATGATTAGGGGACTGGAGGCTAAAACATATAAGGAACGGTTGCTAGAATTGGGTATGTCTAGTTTAACGAAGAGAAGGACAAGGGGGGGACATGATAGCAGTATTCCAATATCTCAGGGGCTGCCATAAAGAAGAGGGAATCAAGCTATTTTCCAAAGCACCTAAAGGCAGGACAAGAAGCAATGGGTGGAAACTAATCAAGGAGAGAAGCAACCTAGACTAAGGAGAAACTTCCTGACAGTGAGAACAATTAATCAGTGGAACAGCCTTGCCTCCAGAAGCAGTAAATGCTCCAACACTGGAAGTTTTTAAGAAGAGACTGGACAGCCATTTGTCCGAAATGGTGTAGGGTTTCCTGCCCGAGCAGGGGGTTGGACTAGATGACCTCCAAGGTCCCTTCCAACTTTACTACTATTACTATTATTACTATTACAAAGCTGTTCCAGTTGTTAATTGTATTCCAGGTTTGGTCTTACTAAGGATTTATAAAGAAATATTAATACTTTATGTGATTTTGATTCTATGCTTCTGTTTATACAACCAAGGATTGTATTTATACAACTAGCTGCCGCACACTGCTGGTTCATATTTAAGTGATCATCCATTAGGACTCCAAGGTCCCTCTGAGTTACTGTTTTTGAGCAAGGTTTCGTCTAATCTGTAGTTATACCTTTGGTTTTTCCTCCCTTGGGGTAAAACCTTGCTTTTCTCCACATTACATTTCATGTTGTTGGATACAGCCCATTGTTCAAGTCTTTCAAGATCTTTTTGGATCCTGAACTTGTCTTCTGGGGTGTTGGCTATTCCTGCCAGCTTAGTGTAATTTGCAAATTTGACGAGTTCCCCTTCTATTCCCTCATCTAAGTCATTTATGAAGATATTGAAGAGTATTGGGCCTAAGATGGAACCTTGCGGTACCCACTGCTTACTTACTTCCATGTAGATGTAGTACCATTAAAGATGTAGTACCATTGAGAATGGTTTGTCAGCCAGTTACAAATCTATCTGGTGGTGATGCTGTCTATCCCACATTTTTCTAGTTTACCAAGAAGTAGGTTGTGGTCTACTTTGCCAAATGCCTTGTTGAAATCTAAGTATACTATGTCCACAGCATTTTCCACTTACACTAATTTGGCTCTATAGAACAGGAAAGGAATCTCTTCTGAAATTAACCTGGGAGAGAAGATTCTCTATTTCAAACATGAGAGGCTATGAGTATTTTTACTGTAAGATTCACTGGTCAAAACATAGAAGTTTGCAGTCAACCTTCATGTAAGAAACAGAATCATCTGTAGCATTTTTATTGAATAGCAATCTTCTATGTACATATTAGAGGTAAATCTTACAGAAATCAGTTTTAATCATCTTTAGTAACCATTTTTCTCTTGTTACAGTTCAATTCAGTAATTCTCTGTAATTCTGATCAGCCGCCATTTTGGAAGCAGAGATGTCCTGTGATGGTGGGATTTTTAATTTTTCCTGATTCCCAATTCAGAAATAGAAAATTTCTAGAGGCATACCCTTACTTGCATTGTCCAGATTACATATATGGCATAGTTGTAATAACTAATTAATATTAGTTTACTGATTCTGCCTAGCAAAGATCATCCCTTCGCAAAGGCACCTTAAATCAAAAGGGAAACTACTTGTCTTAATCATGCCACTTCAGATATCTTTTATGCCAAGAGTGCTTGCAAGTAGCAATGAAGCAAACAACCCATAGATTTTAATATTTTTCTTCACATGGAACTTTTAAATTATGATAAAGAAAGTACTTTCCAGGTAATTCCAGGAAGGAAGGAAGGAAGGAAGGAAGGAAGGAAGGAAGGAAGGAAGGAAGGAAGGAAGGAAGGAAGGAAGGAAGGAAGGAAGGAAGGAAGGAAGGAAGGAAATTTAAAATCTACTTTTCCATTTAAGGGTCAGAAATATCAGAAAGGACTGGTAACTTGGTAGTAATTTGAATCAATGTTTCCTTCCAATATTGCATTTGTTCTTTTCAAAGAATTTTCTCACATTGTCTTCAGTTCCCTTGATGGAACTTACTGCTTTGCTCTTTGGTCTGTTTGACTGCTAACCTAAAAGATGTGCTAGGAGTTATTATTTCAAAGAGTTTCCATCTTGCATCTTCTGGATTGCATGTTTAGGGCAGTGCCATAGCTTTAGCTCTTCTTTTTCTTTTTGTTTGAAGCCCAAGAACTTAAGAGACTAAGGGGGAAAATCTCACTCAGACACCGACCATTTTTATCACCAGAGCTTTTTAAGGCTATCCTTATATTGAATGCCAGCTTCCTCAAATGTATACCTCATAACATGGAATAAAACATTTTCCACAATTTTCTAGCTTCTTGGAGCCAAGCTGGATAGATCTGGAGTTGGAAAAATGTCCTTCTCGCAAACGCGTGCACGCATGTGCACATACAAACACACACACACACACACACACACACACACACGAGACAGCACAGTGATGGCAAAGAAAATAAAACCAAGGGAAACCAAAAAGAAGGAGGAACATCAATCATCCTTGACAAAAGCCTGAATGAAGACCCAGGTTTTTAAGACTCTTTGGAACAGCAGTAGTCATCTCAAAACTCCATTACTTTGAAAACTGATATTGAAAAATAGGCTAATGGGCAGTTGGCATGAAGTCTTGGAAATAGCCACTCCAAAGTTCAACTTTTTATTAAAAATGCTTCTAAAAGTTTGACATAAAAAAATCACAGTTTCAACAAAAACACACAATCGTGATTTTTCAGGATGGTAAGTGTGTTAAAGCTAAGGAGTGTCAAAATTAATTGAGATTTTTTTAAAATAAAATAAATTTTAAAGTAGATTTGTGTCTAAAATACATGTTAAATGCACATACATCTGCACTGTGGCCTGCACTATCTGAAACTTTCACATCCTGCACGGGTTGTTTCCTTTTACTGAAGTTAGTTATTTAGCATGAGTATATCTTACCCTGTGTATGTCAAGCTGTGCCTAATAAATATTTAGCAACATGAAACCAAGAGATTTTCTAACCTTGAAAACAATAACATCAGAAAGAAAATAATCACTAGGTGACCACTGAGCGTCCTTACAAATCCTACTCATTGTATTAATGGTGTGCCTACCAGTTCAACCAATTAGACTACATTGGAATATATCGCTCCACCGGAAAAAAGGGATATTCTATACCTGCTTTGCTGCAATAAGAGCCAAATGTTTATTTTAAACAGGAGAGCTTAGTGTTATCTAAGTTAATCATACTGTTCTTTTTCTCATATTATGGTTCAATCTACGAAAATTTTGCTGGAACACTAACGGAGAGGAATAAATGAAGTTAGCTTTGGACTCGGCATGTGACAGTGGGAGACTAGGCCAGGTTTAATTCAACCTTACTGAATCCTCTTAAATTGTGTCGCTTGTCAAATTCACACTTGACTTTGGGAAACATTAAACTGTTTTCGCCACTGAGAACTAATTAAGAAATCTGGCCCTCCGTGGCTGAGTTCATTTTGTTCGGGTTGACTGCTTGTTCAAGTCTGACTCTGGACACTCATTTAATGTACACTGTGACCAACTATTTCAGTTGGATTACGGTAATTACCTAGCTCAACACTTTTCTGATACATTTTGCAATAATGGAATCCAAAGCTTTTATGCAAAACTCCTCAGGCCACCCTTTAAAGTGCAAATTCTGGCTTGAGAATAGACTCGGTAATCCAAGGTTTCCCCCCCCCCCATTAACAAATATTCTAACGGGCAGTCAAGCACAATATAAGCATAGCTAAGCCCTCAAAGGCCTGAGCTCCTGTAAAAGGATTTCTTTTCAAAACAGAGCCTAACTCTGGCCAGAAAAAGAAAGGGAGAGACCGCCCAGTCTAGGCCAGACCACGGTTGCTACTATGTGCCTTAGGCAGATAAATTTTAGAACTGGCAAATGGGATCCGCTTTCTTTAGTAAAGTAGGCAGATCTGTCATTTCTAGTAGGCCAAGCATTTTAAGAAGCTTTTTGATCCGTTAAGCAAAACGACAGTAAAATTATTATTAAGTAAGAAGCCTTTGTTCTTAGATTTTGGTCAAAGTTACCTTGAAATAAACCACATCCACGGATGGTTTGTGACAGATGTACCGTAGATAGTTGTTTGTGTGCATATGTATGCACAGGCGTAATTCTAGCGCCTCTATATGTTCTCATTTTACTTCTACCGATCTGATGCCACATAAAACCCTAGATGGCATGGG